GTGTGACATTAAGCAAGGGAACAGTTAGGATGTGATTCACTTCTGATTATTGTTCTCCATGACATCCTTTTCAAATTTCCTGCAAAAATGCATTACTGTCTTGGATATTGAAACAAGCATCAGAAAAAAAGGAATGTAAATCAATACTTGACAGCTGATTAAATCCAAACTCTGTCTGCAATTCTCATGAAATATCATGCTTTGGATAAATTAATTGGCATACCTGATATTTTGCCTTATCTTAAATGTTATATTCTGTTGAAGAAAACCTTAATCCAGGATTGATGTGATAGCATCAGATTAATGTCTAAATGTCTGTGTCTATTCAAGAATATTAATAATTTTTCTCATGGGCCATAGCGATTTAGAATGTGGCAACATAACTTTGGACCACTGCAGTGTGCTCTTAACAAGACAGCAAATATTGAAGATGGTTCAGAAGCTGCTAGTAAGGGAGACTTCAACAACCTGTGTAGCATCAATAGGAACTTGTGCCACCTCAGTTTTAAAAGGCATTTACTAATTTTGATTTTTCAGTTTCAATTTAGCATCGCTAATAAATAAGTAAATGACTTTGGTTTAGATCAGTGATTCTCAACCTGTGGATCCCCAGATGTTTTGATTTCCAATTCCCAGAAATCTTAACAGCTGGTAAACTGGCTGGGATTTCTGGGAGTTGTAGGTCTGCATACATGCCACAACTATCACACACTTTCTCCATTTTACTTCTCTATACATGCCTTGAATGCATATTGGCATGTAAAGTGAACTTTAGAAGCTTGCAAAGAATGGCCTACAAAGCTGCCAGAAAAAAAATAAACTCATTTGAAAAGGGCTTCTAAAAAAACATTTTGTGGATACCAAGGCTGCCAAGAGGCTAAATGAATAGGTCTTAGAGCAAATTAAACCATAATATTCACCAGAAGCAAAAATAAACTGAGGATGCTGTATATTGAACATACCATGAAATGATGTGACTCATTGGAAAAGTGGAAGGAAATAGGAAAAGAGGGAAATAGCTGATTGATTCAACAAAAGAAGATGTGACCCTCAGTTTGCCAGACCTCAACAGGAACTGTATTCTTTGAGAACTCTTGTTTGTAGGATTACCATAAGTAGAAGTTAACAAACAAACAACAAGTCAGAAAAATCCAGAACTCAAAAATCGACAGCACTAATGTAGAGTGCAAGATTTGTCATTAAAAGTTTAAACACCTATAAACAGCATTTAAAACAGTATTTAAGAAAAACAGTATTTCAGAAAATTTTGCATATTTTCTGAAAACATATTCAGGAATAGCTGTGTTCTCCATGTAGATAGAATGGGATCAAGGGCAGTAAAACACAGGTAACAAAAATTTAAATCCACTGACAGCAACAATGGGCCCTTCTACGCTGCCATATAAAATCCAGATTATTGGCTTTGAACTGGATTATCTGGCAAAGCACACTCATATAATTCAGTTCAAAGCAGATAATGTGGATTATTGGCTTTGATAATCTGGATTATATGACAGTGAAGAAGGAGCCAAAGTAACTTTCAAGTTACTCTCCAAATAGCCAAGAAGGGGAGTGGTCTCTACCTACATTAATATTTTAACCAATTACAGAAGTAATATTGAAGAGAAAATGAAAGCCTATGACCCTAACATTGTGACCTTTCTTTTCCTATATAATTTTTAACATCTTTGATAAGAAAGCCAGTTAAGCTTTGAAAACTTTCATAATGTATGTTCTGCTTTTTTTTATTTCACTAAAAGTATTACTGTTTTGTTATATTTTGCAATTTTCTAATCCAGCGCCATAAAATAAAACTGAAAACTTCATAACATTTGTCATTGAAAGGGTCATATATTATGGAATAATTTCCTTTATCTTGGAAACACTAGAGCATGCAATATGTGGTAAACAGCTTTGGAGTCAAAGTAGTATTGCAGGAACAATGGTAATGCTAGATCTGAATTTAGGGTTGTTAGACCAATTCTACATAGTCACAAAATATAAGTTAGGAGGTGGATTAAAAGGAACCAGTTCCACTGAGGAGTACTTTCACAATCACCCCAGGCACTGAATCAAGTCAGGGATGGTAGCTACAGTATCCACTTATTGCAGATCAAACTGAACATAGAAATATTTTTTCTTACACAGCCCACTAATATTATATAACAAGCATCTCCATGTCTGTTCAGGATCAGCACAAGACTGGGGCATGGCACAGGAAATGAGGACAAAGGGCTAGAAACTCAAGCGTTCCCATGGAAATGATGTAGTTTCCTCTCTGGGGGATACATGTCTATCTCGCGACCAGCTATGTTCCATGTGTTTAAAGTGTATAGTTTCAAGGTGTGGAAGTAAAAGTAACAGTGAACTGAATGATGAATAGTATAGTTATAGGATTAAAAAGATGATTTTAGGAAATAGTTCACACTGCTGTCTGAACATTGTGTCTGCGTGTGTGAGTCTTCAAGTTGTTTGTTGACCTGTTGTAACCTCATGAATTTCCTAAGGTTTTCTTAAGTAAAGAATATTCAGATGTGGTTTTGTCAATCCCTTTCTCTGAAATACAGCTGACCTGATTATGAACATCAACCATAAGAAAGGCCCTGTAAGCTATGAGGAAAGGGAAATGACAGCTAGCCAGTAGCAATTTAGTTTTGTGATTACTTGAGTCATGCAGTGTCATGAGTGATGGCAGATGAAAAGCGATGGTCAGAACAGGAGGGGCCGGTAAAATCCATATCTCATTCTTGGAGACAAGGGAACACAAGATCATCTGGCAGAAAGTCAGATAAGGGAAAGTGGATGGGCTGATGAACAGATAAGAAAATGCTAGAAACTGTATAAAAGCTGACCTCAGGCCAGGGAGAATCAAGCAATTCATGACTGTTTATAAGGCCTTCACATGTTTCCAACAGCTGCCTCCTCAGGTTATCTGCTAGCTAGGGAACGATGTCTAATAATGCTGGAAACAGACAGAGAGTATTCCTCTCTAGATAAATGATTAAAGTTACATAAGACAGAGTTTCCCTATCTACTATATTACTGTAGAAAACAATGCAATAAAGATGGCTGTGTTGTGATACTGTATTAAACTGTTGTGGAAGAAGATGGATCCCTTACAGATAAAGTCAACATAACAATGTGACTCTGCAAGGTAAGCCACCTTATATATTGTCTAGGCTGAGATGTTCAACTTTCAGTAGCACCTGTATAACCAGATCTAGAAAAGTTCAATTAAAATAGTTACAATTTTAGCTCCAATTCCAAAAGAGATTATAGTTATAATTCCCTCCACCAAAAAAAAAAAAATCTTCTACATTTCAGTTTCTCAAAAGTACCTGAATTACTTTTAGTAGCTTTTTAGAGATAAAAGAGCTAAATACTACATCCTTCACAGCTCTTTTAATGTGCAGCATGGCATTATTTCAGTGGTCAAAACAAAATGTGAGGTAGCAATTCAAGTCATCATTCGAATCATACAATATTAATCTTTCACAGTTTAGTAATTTAGAATTTACTAGTTATGAAGTACTACAATAATTATAGCAAAGGCAAACAGCTATCACTCATTAAGTTACACATAATGTAACTCAATTACAACCAAAAGAATGAATTAGTTACATTGTTGGTTATTTGTACGTATTGTTTCTAAACCTGTAGTGCCTAGTGCCTGTAGAATGATGAATCTGTTCTGGCTCTTAATTGGGATTTTAAAGGAACTCTCCAGGGTGCTGAATTTATCTGGGGAATAGGCCCAGCACTTTATATAACTCCTGTGAAGTCTGAATTAATTCCTGAAATCACTTGTCCAATGACATTTGAAACATTGGCTGCAACTGCTTTAAGCCATGGATTTGAGAATACAGAAGTGCTTATTTTGAAAATAAGAAGAATTTATGAGCCATATCCTGTCCTTAATAATCTTAATTAACATACAATATGAATGGGATTTCTGTGTAAAATTATTCTGATGGTTATCCTCCACTGGAAAAATAAAATTTAATTATATTGTATAATTTTAATGTAACCCATTTGTACAATATCTTGATCTGGATGTAGGTTGAGAACCAAGGGAAGTTGTTGTAGGTAAGTCTGACAGAATGAAAAGCAGGAGGTAACTGATACATAGGAGGGCAAAGATCTGGGATTACATCCAGCTTTCTTTTGTCATCATGTGAGTAGTTAGGGTACTCTTTGATTCAGCTACAATATATGTAACAGCTGGTCATGATACAGTAGATGTGGACATTTCCTGTCAACTGTATCTGATTTAAAAAAGTTGACATTTTATTTCATTTTCACAGCTGGTGAATGTCAACCATATCTTTCAACCCAGCAGATCTAACAACAAGTGATGTTATTATTGTGCCTGAAGTAAGAAGAAGTGTGCAAGAGGAGATAGACTCAGGCTGGAGTGTCACAGTAACTACAACTTTTATTAATGACACAAACAAGCACTACAGGAGTTTGGTACTGAGAGGGCAGAGAATAAAACTGCTATCACTCTACAGGAGTAGAAGGACAACACAGATCAATTGCTGTCATTCTTTTTTAGTTTCTTTTAAACTTCTGATCTAGCATGCTGGCTCAGTATAAAAGATTCAGTTCCAACTGCTAAGAATAAACACCAGCCTTTCCTAAAGAGGTCTGCCAACTAGGACACAAGGACTAATTGTACTTCTTTATTTCATCAAGGCTTCCAAAAGGATAAGCAGTGCATGTCTCAATAAAGGTAATGAACATCAAGTATGAGTAAAGTAGGAGTAGGAATAGGAATAAACGTAGATGACATTCAAAGCCAGTTTAAGTCCTTGGATGACTGAAAAGCAGTGGGACACTGCAGCTATATCAACCCTTAAAATCTGCTGCAAAGGAAAACATCCTGGATTTTCAATCCAAATAAGAAATTCTTATAAGATTTCCTGAAGTTAAAAAATTCCAACATTAACAGATCATACTGGGCAGATAACTAGTAGGACTACATATATATTGAGTCTTACCTGGCTGGATCTTGCATTTTCGCAAACATACATCTCATAATATTCTGAAATTTCTGGTGCATGTTCATTGATATCAAGAACCTGGATATAAACATTCACCTCTGATATTTGTTCTAGGTTCACTGAAGCAAAGGAAATAAAAATAAATATAGTAAAGTGCAAATACGCAGCTTATATATTCCATTATACTACATAACTCTGACATTAAAACTATTTTCTTATTTATAGCTGTTTCTTATTGTGACAATCACTTCTGAGGGGCATAGTGTGCCTTTGACTTCACTATTAAGTACCATGCACATGATTGGATCACATGTTAATTTATTCACCAATATAGTAATAATAATAATAATAATAATAATAATAATAATAATAATAATATCATGTTATATATAATTTGTCAATTAGTCACAAGTATTACAGTAATTTCAGTTTCATTCATGGCACTTTTGCATTTTGATGATTAAATAACATAAATTAATCTTTCAAATTTTTATAAACTTATACAAAATATTGTCAACTGCAATCTGCATTTACTTTTTAGATTATCCAGTGTTGAGTAATCAAAAGATGCAATGTGAACTAATCTGAAAAAAAAGAATTATAGGAAAAAAAACAGAATGGAAAACAAGAATGGAAAACAAGCTGCTAAGCTCCAAGTATATCATTTTTAGTTGCAATGTTAAACTCATTTCATATGAACGAATTAAAACAAAACCAGATAAAGACCAAGCAGTATATTTCTGTTATTGTTGGCTGGTGATACCCATGCAACTGGGCATTTAATGAATTTTGAGTTTATTTTCTGAAAAAGCTATCCAAATTTTTGAAACCTATGTCCAAAATAGGTTCAGCATGATAGGTAACCTTTTTAAAAAATTTTTACAAGAAGTCATAGGAGGTCTACTGCCTCAATGGCAAGGCAGTCACCAGCTCCAATAGTTTGCAGTAAATTAATTTTGTATTTAAATTACCTTAATCATCAAGATATATCTTGCCTTTCAGCTCACAGTAATATCAAACAATAGGCTGTCCCTGTTTAACCATTATAAATGTCTACTCAGAAGTAAGATGGCAATGAGTTTGCATTTCCTAGGGAAATGTAAATAAGATCTCATATAATATTCTTTATTTTTCCCAGTGTTCTCTTCTTCAATCCAAATAAGAAAATCTTCATAAGATTTTCCAGATCTTGAAAGTAATAGATATGTACTAATTTGTTAGTTTTCCCCATGAGGACAAAGCAATGTTTCTTCACGCTTCTAATGCAAGCATCATAATTTTTATGTCAACAGAAAAGTGTCTTTTCTCATTAATTATTGATAGGTAAACCACATGCCTTGTTTGCAGTTTGTCTCATACTGTGTTGCTTTGTGCTGTTGGTGCTGAAGAAAATGTAGGATAGAAGACAAGAGCCCAATGGAGAGAGAGCGAAACACTGCCAAATGTGTGAGAACATTGTGGAGACACTCAAACATAAGGATTAAATTGGCATAGAAGGAAGACAGTGCAGTGGCCCTATCCCTTCTGATATTACTCTTCTCATGTAAATAACCAACAGATCTAAAGAACATTTGTGGAAACTTTCCATAGGATTTGAGCACCTGATTTTCATGTGAACTTTTTAGGTTCACATGAAAAGTTTTCACATATAGATATGTTTTATCCCCTTTGCTTTTATGCGATATGGTAGGGACAGGGTTGATGTTTGAACATATGGTGGTTATAACCTCAGTGTTGAATTCCTAAAAAGGGCTAGGGATGTTACTTTTGTTGATGATTAGAGGAAAAAAGTGTGAGGGAAAGAGGCAAAAGAGAGAAACTGACTCGCACACTGGCTAAGAAAGCAAAATATCCATATGGTCCATTGTGCAAGTGAAAATTATTATTTGTATGAAACCATTGTACATTATCATGTCAGAACTTTGCCCTTAGCTTTTGGATGTCCTTACAGGATGAATGTGAGTGTGATACTCAGACTCAGACGTGGCATGAATGTGAGTGTGATGATAAAATCTAACATTATTTTTGGACCTTTTCCTCTTCCACAAAGAATGAACACCAATTATTTCCAATTTGCTCTTTTGAAAAAAATATTTTCAGCTCTTTTGTTATAACAGTTTCTTCACCCCCCTCACTCCTTTTTGGAATCATATCCCAGAGGCAAGGTGACCTGTTAAGTGAGAGCACAAATGAAGCAATTTGCATTTGGTTTTGAGACAAAACTGACAGGTGAAATCTATATAAGGGATGCTTTTCATGTTTAATTGCTACTGTATGGAAAGGCTCCTGATTTAGTTCTTGCTTTCACAATTTATTTGAGGCACAAGTTTCTGACTGGTGTTAAATTAGACTCTGGCTAATTTTGTACCAGTCAAAAAAATCTGCTGTGAAATTAACCAGTGTCTAATTCAACATAAGATCTTGTACCAGGACAGTAATTTTATATGCTTTAGTGTGGCTTGAAACCATTATAGTTCCCATTATTATGTTATCCACTGCCGCCTCCTTTTAAAAAAAAATAAGTAAGCTTTTCTGAAAGTTTACCAGAGTTACTAGAGCAAGCATTATTTAACTTCAATCAGATGCATATTAATATTGCCATCAAATATAACAAGCACCAACAAAATAGTAGCATATACTCTCAATATAAAAAGAAGGGATATTCTGGAGATAATTGCAATGAATAGATATTGATAAATGTAATATCTCAGATATAGGGTTTCTAAAAATCTTACTCACTTGATTCTGTGGCTGTAACAGTTATGTTGTGCCAAGCCGCTATCTCTCGGTCCAGTGGTTTAGTAATAGTGATTGTTCCATTGTGTGCATTGATGCTGAAATACTCGCTGAGGACAATAGAATACCTGTACACCAAAGAGAAGGGAAAATTGAGACTTTCTTAGACACTGAATGAAAATGTTTCTCCTGAAACAAAAATGTATAAGCCACAGTAAGTCATGAAAAGAGAATTCAGTAGACATGAATATGGATGTCTATTCCAGCAACTCAGAAATCATGAAAAATGTACAGTGATAAACATTTAAAATTCACTGCTGCCAAGATCAAAGCACTTCTTTTTATGAAACTAAATATGCCTCAGACCTATATTAATGTGAACCAAATCTAAAATGCATTATTCATTCTTATTTCACAGACAGTCTCACAGCAGGTGAATGACTCGATTCAAAAGAAACAGCCAAGTGCCACTTGTGAAATGACTCACACTGGCAACTAAGTCAGGATAGAACAGTGAATTTATTTCATCATGACTGGCTTGATACAATGTCAAGGAAACAACACAAGAAAGGAGTAAAAAAAGAAATACTTCTTTATCACATGCCCATACATTTCATAAAATCCAAAAGAAAAGGAAAAAAAATATAGTGCCATGACAAGAAAAATAGAACAAAGTAAACAATTGAGTTTTTACTTCTCACAAACTATTTTGTAAGGCATAAAAGGGGTAATTTATTTTGCAAGAAAGGGAAATGAATTAGGCCTAAATGCAAAAGTTAGTTCCAACTCCAGTAAAACCACTCAATGAAGAGAACATAATAAATCAACACTTATGTATGTTCCATTGATTCAATGATGTGAACTAATGCATGGATCATTGCCACCACAGCAAAGACATTTGAAGATTGGTATGTTTTTATCTAGACATTTACATCTTCCATTCCTTTCAAACTGGGACTCCAGGTGCTTTCCGAAAACAAAACAAAAATAATACAAATAACATGTGCAGATATAGAAAAAAACAAAAAGACACACAAAAGTTATGGTTAAAATGTGATAAGACTGCCTATTAAATTAAAACAATATAAAATGGATGAATTAAAAGGACAAAGAAATAGAAAAGTACACTGTTAAGTTGCCTCGCATTCAAATTTTCCAAAGCCCATTGAAACAGAATATATTTCACCTGACTATAGAAGGACAAGGAGGGAATCATCCTAACTTTACAAGGAAGATAATTCCAAAGTCTAGGAACAAGTATCAAGTAAAGCTGAGAAAAAAGTCATTGGGTTAAAAAAGAACATACACACTTCAGCCACTCAGTAATATCTTCCTTGTGAGTGAACAAGGGTGCTTCTACACAGCTACTATAATGTGGCTTGAAGGGTGTACAAAGGTTTATGTGTCTATGTACACCCTAATTGCATCATGCACTAAGCATGAAACGGCACATTAAAATAACTCATAAGAAAGTCTGGGACAAGCCAAAAAAAACAAAAACAAAAAACAAACAAAACAAACACAAAACAAAAAAAATCCTGCTGCAGCTGATCAGAATATATCCCATGCAGAGCTGAATCTGTGACCAAAAAAATACAAAGCACTCATCAGGACAGGGCTAGTGCTGATGCACTTTAAAAACCCCAAAACACTTCTGACTGGAAAGAAAATAAAGAAGCCTTCCTGTAATTGTATGGTCCAACATCAGCCAACTACTCACTCAACTAACAAATCTGACTGGACAGTCTCCCTGGCAAATCTCTCCCTCAAAATCTGCCACTTAGAATTTTGGGACGGTACGCCCCACATCCTAGCCTCACACAACCCATAATGTAAATTAAAATTAACTTTTTTTTGAAAAATTGTCCACCAGTAATCCCAACACTATTCCATCAAATTTGATCAAATTAGATTTGCCATCCCTTCTGAATTCCATAGGAAAATACTGCAAAGTAGGCAAATCCTTTCACATGAGCTTTTCAACATTTTGTGAATGTGGTGCACAATGGTAAAAAAAATCCCACCAAGTTCTAAAGTAACCAGCCATAGTTTGCATTGCCATAAAGAGCAGGTGAGTGGCTCAAGTGTGCATAGATAATGAGGCTGGGGTGAGGTTTACACAGGTTTTGACAAAATCATTACTTACTGCATATATCTCTTCTGAAGAGTTCCTCCCACAGACCATAGAGGAATAGTAATGGAGTACTAAATATTCTAATCCTAGCTTTCTTTGTAGATTTCATTCCACCGTATCCTTGCCTACCCACAATTCAGATGTTAACACAAATTAATCCACTTGTATGTTGCAAGTCACTTCTGGTTGCAGGAACATCACAGCAAGTGAGAGTCCAAAAGTGGCAGGCTACAACCCAGAACCTCAACCCATGGCTGATACTGAATGAGAGACTCCCCCCTGGCCACACAGAAGATTTGGTGACTTGGAAGGCACTGAACAGATTGCACTCTGGCACCATGAGATGCAGAGCCAACCTTAAGAAATGGGGCCACAAAGTGGAATCCACAACATGTTAGTGTGGAGAAGAGCAAACCACAGACCACCTTTTACAATGCAGTCTGAACCCTGCCACATGCATACTGGACTTTCTTATAGCAACACCAGAGGCACTCCAAGTGGCCGGCTACTGATCAAAAGACATTTAGTATGCTGAAAAGTTTTTTAAACTTTGTGTTTTTTAAATACATTGCAACTGTACCCTCGGTTCACTTCTGATACGATAAATAAATATCCACTTGTAAGTCTCCCAGCACATTTAATAAACACTAAAAAAAACCCCACAAAAATTAAACTACCTTCTTAACCTAAACATGGAAATAATACTGTTTACAGAACTAAATGGGCAAGTTTCAAACATCAGATAGAATGCACACGTTCTAGACTTGATATGGACTTAATAGTATTCAAGCACCTATTAATACATTTCAACTCTAAACATATCTTCTGAGATTGTAGACATACCTGATAGGACTATTGGCTTTATCTGGATCTCTTGCACTCACAGCTCCCACAAATGAATTGTTCATATCCTCTTCAGAAATCTCCACCAATAATTCCTTTGATATGAAAACTGGAGGTTCATCCACATCCTGCACTCTGATCCTCAGAATGGCAGTGTCTTCAAATTTCATGTCTTCTGCAAGGAAACGTTTATCTATGTGTCTGTTGATACCCTTCACTCTTATATCATATACATTTTGGGTCTCATAATCCAGTGTCTGCACAAAATTAAATAAATAAAAAGAGAAAATAGAGTATTTTCTTTATTCATCTTCACACAATTAATAATAGATCAATCATGAGTGTAAGATTAAAGACAAGAAAGAATGATGCTCTTCTTTTGGAATGTTTTGAAACTAATAAAATTTAGTGAAGTTTCCCACTCCTTTTCTGTAAAAACACATTAATGATTCATCTTTTCTTTATATACTTCATTTTATTATTAAGTCTGCTGCCTTGGTTTTCTGGTAATACAATTCAATAGTATCACATTGGACAATTTTTTCTGGTAATTTTAAGATTGTCGAAGGCTTTCATGGCTGGAATCACTCAGTTCTTGTGGGTTTTTTCGGGCTATATGGCCATGTTCTAGAGGCATTTCTCCTGACGTTTCGCCTGCATCTATGGCAAGCTTCCTCAGAGGTCTGCTGGAGCTGGGAAAAAATATATATCAAAAAAAAAAAAAAAAAAGAAAAAAAAAAAAAAAAAAAAAAAAAAAAAAAAAAAAAAAAAAAAAAAAAGGGGTTTATATATCTGTGGAATGACCAGGGTGAGACAAAGGGCTTTTGTAAGTTGGGCTAGGTGTGAATCTTTCAACTGACAACCTTGATTAGCATACAGTGGGCTGACTGTGCCTGGAGCAAACTCTTCTTGAAAGGTGATTAGATGTCCCTGCCTGTTTTTCTCTCTGCTGTTTTAATTTTACAATTTTTTAATACTGGTAGCCAGATTTTGTTCATTTTCATGGTTTCTTCCTTTCTGTTGAAATTGCCCACATGTTTGTGGATTTCAATGGCTTCTCAGCCCGGTCATAGCTAACTTCTACATGGAACAATTTGAAAAACAAGCTCTTGAAACAGCAACCAAAAAGCCCACTATATGGTTCAGATATGTGGATGACACTTTCACCATTTGGAGCCATGGAGATGAAGAACTCAACAGGTTCCTGGAACATCTTAACAGCATCCACCCTAACATCCAGTTCACTATGGAAAAAGAAAAGGAAGGAAGACTGCCTTTTCTAGATGTCCTAGTCATCCGCAAACCAGATCAACAATTGGGTCACACCGTTTACAGAAAACCCACACACACAGATAGATATCTACATAAAAACTCCAACCATCACCCAAGTCAAAAAAGAAGCACCATTAAAGCCTTGGCAGACCATGCAAAAAGAATCTGCGAACCCCACCTCCTCCAAGATGAACTGAACCACCTCAACTGGGCTCTCCAGGCCAATGGATACTCCACCTCAGACATCAGAAGAGCTGCAAGACCAAGAACAAGCCACGAGAGTAAAGATGAAGATCCACCCAGAGGAAAAGTGTCCTGCCATACATCAAGGGAACCACTGACCGCATAGGGAAGCTGATGAGGAAACACAACATACAAACAATCTACAAACCCACCAAGAAAATCCAACAAATGCTACGTTCAGCAAAGGACAAGAGGGATCCTCTCACTCTGCAGGAGTCTACCGTATACCATGCAGCTGTGGACAAGTCTACATAGGGACCACCAAACGCAGCATTGCCCAAACAAGAATCAAGGAACATGAAAGGCACTGCAGACTACTTCAACCAGAGAAGTCAGCCATAGCAGAGCACCTGATGAACCAACCTGGGGCACAGCATATTTATTTGAGAACACAAATGCTGGACCACTCTCACAACCACCATGTCAGACTACACAGAGAAGCCATTGAAATCCACAAACATGTGGACAATTTCAACAGAAAGGAAGAAACCATGAAAATGAACAAAATCTGGCTACCAGTATTAAAAAATTCTAAAATTAAAACAGCAGAGAGAAAAACAGGCAGGGACATCTAATCACCTTTCAAGAAGAGTTTGCTCCAGGCACTGTCAGCCCATTGTATGCTAATCAAGGTGGTCAGTTGAAAAGATTCACACCTAGCCCAACTTACAAAAGCCTTTTGTCTCACCCTGGTCATTCCACAGATATATAAACCCCTTTTTCCCAGCTCCAGCAGACCTCTGAGGAAGCTTGCCATAGATGCAGGCGAAACGTCAGGAGAAATGCCTCTAGAACATGGCCATATAGCCCGAAAAAACCCACAAGAACTGAATTTTAAGATTACTTTATACAGACTACTGTGTTCAGGGGTTTTTTTTCCAGTTCATTTGGATGCCATTCCAGTTGAAGCCTGTCCAGCCAAACTGGAAAAAGATAGACAGAAGAAAGCTTCTAGGTGCTAGTGGAGCAATCACTGCTATCATCTTGGATTCCAAGATCTTACTGATGGCCAGGTTTGTGCAAAGGATCCCATCTACTGGGACTATGCTACTTGCATGAGTAGAAGAGCAGTTACTAGCAAAACACTTTAGTGGTGATAATGTGTAGGGAGAGTTGTATCTGAGCCCTTTCACACTGTGAAGGTATAGAATTATGATAAAGTTTTAACTGTCCCAACTACATCTTATGAAATCCTGGGTCTTTGGCAAAAGCAACAGAACTCTCTAAATTCTTTACTTAAATTGCAAAATCTTATGGTTCTATAGGATACTGCAGGTATGGATATGGGATGGAGACAGCTTTGGTTGCCTTTGTAGTTTATAAATGCTGGGGACTACAAATGGAGTGTGCATTCCTCTGCACACTCCATTTGTTCTGTTGGACCTCTCGGCTGCTTTCAATACCTTTGGTATCCTTCTGGATAGTCTCACTTGACTAGGACTTGGAGATATTGTTTTATAATGGATCGGTTCCTTTCTGGAGGGGGTACCTTAGGCCGCATCTACACTGCCACACAATGCTGTCTCATAATGCAGTTTAACTGCATTGAACTGCATTATATGCCACAGTAGACTCATAATGATGTTCATTGCAGTTGAACTGCATTATGTGGCACTATAAATAGGGCTTAGAGGGTTATGCCAGGGCATTCTTGTTTGATTCTTTGTTCTCTAGGGTACTGTTTTGTCCCCTATGCTGTTTAACATCTACATGAAACTATTGGGAGAGGTTATTGAAAGTTTCATGTCAGGTGTCACCAGTATCCTAAGAAGACCCAGTTCTATCATCTCTTTCCAACCAATTCCAAGGAAGATGTTTCTGTGCTAAACCCGTGCTTAGCAGCTGTGATGGATTGGATAACGTTGAAAAAATTGAATTGAAATCCAAATAAAATAAAGATGCTCCTGAAAGACAGATCTGGGAATAGAGATTTTGTGTGTGTTAGATGGGATTACACTCCCCATGAAAACACAGGTTTGCTCTTTGTGGGCACTCTTGGGTTCAGTCCTGAGTCTGGAAGCTCAGGTTTTTCCAGCAATAGGTTGCTGTGGCAGTAAAAGAGGAATCATAACACTCTAACAATTCTGTGTGAAATAACCTCTTGTTTCTACTAGGGCTGGGCGGTTTCGTTTCGTTAATTCGTAATTCGTTAAAAATTCATTATTTTTTTATAACGAAGCGATAACGAACCATTCTGGAGCAACTTAAAAACGAAACGAATTTTTAAATTCATTTCGTAAATGCTTCGGATTCGTTATGTATTCGTTTCGTTATCGGTTTGAGGTCGTTTCGTTATTATTTCCGCATGTCTGGGGCAAGTTTTATAGTTGTTTTTGTTTAATTAGTGAAAAAAAATTATAATATCACACCAACAGTCAACAACAGAGGGAGAGGGAAGCTTCAGAAGTTCCCCCTGTCCCATTTGGAGGTTTTTTAGCGTATTGGGTGGTCGCGTCCGCCATTAACGAATCGATTCGTTATTGTTTCGTATTTGTTTCATTAATGTTTCATAATTTTTTTAACATTTACGAAATTTCGTAAATATCGAACTTTTTAAAAGAAAAATTTCGGAATTCTTTTAAATATCGAAACGCAAAACCCCCCAAAAAACGAATCGATTTTAGAAACAAATTTTTCCGTTGTTACCCAGGCCTAGTTTCTACTATGCTGTAGGACCCTTTCAAGGTAGAGAGCAGACTTTATCACAGCACTATTATGAAGAGCAGAATAAATGTAGATTAGAAATGTTCACATCCACACAAGAAGGAAAGAACAAGATTTGGGAGCATTTTGGATGGATAATTGCGTTTTTTCCATCTTTCCTTATTGTTGTGTGCCATAAAGCCATTTCTGATTTATAGTGGCCCTAAGGCTCCAAAAGTCAGAATAACCCCCTAAAATAACCCCCCCCCCCAAAAAAAACCAATATATTGGTGTCTTGGTTTTTAGGCCTGTTTCTGAGGCTATGTGCAATACTGCTTCAGAAAAATTGCATTGGATAGACCACATCAGCTCTAGTTTCTTAGATATATTGTTATGATTTTCTATGGATAAGCAGATGAAGACTTGTATATCTAAAAAGACTAGAGCTAATAAGGGGAAAGTGGTGCCATTTTTGGAATCAGCAAATCAGATATGCTCAGAAGGAGGGCTAACAGGCACCAAAATGTTTGTTGGCCTCTCAATCTTGGTCATACTAAGATATGATAGAAATCTAGCAGATGAAACATTTAGAGCCATGGTTTATATTACATGGATCAGAAGAAAAAGCAGTGCTATAACTTGTTTCGTCTTGTCTGTTTTAGTGATTCCTGTGATATTGTTTTGTTAAGTAATAGCTGACATCTCACCTTGTTTAATATGACAGCTCCTTCTTGAGTCTTATTGTCAGTAATGATGTAAACAATATGAGGGGGTTCTTCTTCTATAATATATTCCATGGCTGCATTGTCGCCTATGTCATTGTCGTCTGCCATGATTTTGCCTAGTGTGCTGCCGACAGGTGCTGTCTCAGAGACATACATGTCATAGCGCTCTAAAATAAACAGCCAAGTGTCAATACATCCTGCTAATGAAATCCTAAAGAGTAAAGAAATTGCAACTATAGTATATTTTGTACAGAATATGTATGAACTAAGAAATACTCCTAGACTGTATTTCTTTTTATAATTAGCTAGCTTTCAAAATATTTATGTGTGCGTAGCCTAATTGTAAAAAGAATAATGGCTGAGAAATGTTTTTCACTTCATTTTTGGAGCATGCTTTCTTTTAGAAAGCTTCACAGACCTAACTAGGTTTTTTGTTAGCTTCAAAAGAACCTGTAGGGTATACAAAGAAGCACAGTTTCTTCTGCTTCCTTATATAAACTGCAAAAATTTATGTCAACCACATATATTATCCCTTTACAGTTCTGGCTGTTTTCTTAGGTCTTATCAAATCACTTTGGGTTTATTTTCCTATGATAGCATCATATTTCTAATACTGCCAGTGCCATACTTGGGACAGACTCCTCTCCACACTAGCAATTTTTAATTTTTCTTTATGAATTTTATTAAAAAATTAATATCCTGTCCATCCCATGCATCTGTCTAACCAAGAATGGCTGAGAGAAAACAGACCTAACAGAATCACAAAATCCAATTGTTAGCTGAAAATACTAAAAACAGGTCAAATTTTGACAAGTAAATTGCCTAAAGGCAACAAAATATGGATGTATCATATAAAAATGTTCAGACTTATGTGTCCATTTCTTCTGTTGTTAGAAAGTTTCTCCCCAGGGATTATTTTATTCTAATTGTTCCACAAGCTTACCCATGATATACTACAGACTGTAATCAATGAGATCTTTTCCCCCTTAATTAACTTGTTGAATGTTCGTGTGTTGCTTTTCTTTTTAGTTGCCTTTATTTTAAAACATAATTGCATTTTTTCCACTTCTGCTGAGATGCTTCCCATAATTAAAATGCTTTAACCAAGTAGGAAAAGACAGGGAGATATATAACAAAACCAGTTTTCTTAGACAAGAAATTGCACAAATTGAGTGTAGGCATCAGGAAGAAACTCTGATAGTGTCTTGAACAGCCACATCTTGGACAAAAGTAGGACATGATTAATCATTTCCTAGAAACTTTCAAGTATAGAAGGAGGAGATCCTTTAGTAATCATTGGCTAAGCCATTTTTGACCTTTAATAGGTAATCACCAACATTATGAATTATTCCCAGAAATAATAGGTAAACAGGGCAGCCATTTTAAGATGGGTCTGTATATCTTCAATGGCAGAAACCTACTGCTATGCTCATTACCAAATGATAATCTGATGTTTCCACAGACTCATAAAAAGTAGGAATATGTTGATTAAGTCTGCAATAATTCCTAGTGAATGTAAACAAGTCCTTCTCAAGTTCTGACCTTTTCAAAGGTTTATCTGGAAATGGTTACTTATTTGAAATCCAGATGTAAAAATTGGATCCAGGAATAGCCTCAGGATGAGAATCTGATTTTTCAAGAGGATTGTTATCCCACCTAAAACACACTTACATAGACCTCACAACTTCTGCCATAGATGCAGGCAAAATGTCAGGAGAGAATGCTTCTGGAGTATGGCCATACAGCCCAGAAAACACACAGATTTACAAAAACATTATTCTAGACCCTGGCTCTTTTCTGACAAGGATCACATTTGTCTTATTTGAATTAACCTTCAACTCTTAATTTTGTCTTGTTGCCACCTTCAGAGAGTAATTTAGAGTACCAAAAGTTTTCTTAGGACTACATAAAAAAAGAAGAAACATATTTCTGCCTTCCTGACAGTAACGCTAAAAGCTGCCGATTTCTGAAAATGCTTTAATGGAGACTAAAAGGGGGCAGGCTCTGATCTTCCCTCAGTGCTCACCAGCATAGAAAATAGTGAGAAACAAAACTTCAGCAACATCCAAAGAAGTACAGTTTGTCTATCCTTAATGCAAACATTACATCTGTCTTGAGATGGTCATTTCCTCATGCTTTTATTACACAGTAACAACCAAGTATGTAGCGTACCTGGATTTCAGTAAGGCCTTCGACAAGGTCCCCCATGACCTTCTGGCAAGGAAACTAGTACAATGTGGGCTAGGCAAAACTACGGTGAGGTGGATCAGTAATTGGTTACATGGATGAACCCAGAGGGTGCTCACCAATGCTTCCTCTTCATCCTGGATAGAAGTGACTGCCGCAGGGTTCCGTTCTGGGCCCGGTCCTGTTCAACATCTTTATTAATGACTTAGACGAAGGGCTAGAAGGCATGATCATCAAGTTTGCAGACGACACCAAATTGGGAGGGATAGCCAATACTCCAGAGGACAGGAGCAGAATTCAAAACGATATTGACAGATTAGAGAGATGGGCCAAAACTAACAAAATGAAGTTCAACAGTGACAAATGCAAGATACTCCACTTTGGCAGGAAAAACAAAATGCAAAGATACAGAATGGGGGACAATGCCTGGCTCGAGAGCAGTACGTGTGAAGAAGAACTTGGAGTCCTCGTGGACAACAAGTTAAACATGAGCCAACAATGTGATGTGACGGCAAAAAAAGCCAATGGGATTTTGGCCTGCATCAATAGGAGCATAGTGTCAAGATCTAGAGAAGTAATGCTACCCCTCTATTCCACTTTGGTTAGACCACACCTGGAATATTGTGTCCAATTCTGGGCACCACAATTCAAGAGAGATATTGACAAGCTGGAATGTGTCCAGAGGAGGGCGACTAAAATGATCAAGGGTCTGGAGAACAAGCCCTATGAGGAGCGGCTTAAGGAGCTGGGCATGTTTAGCCTGAAGAAGAGAAGGCTGAGAGAAGATATGATAGCCATGTATAAATATGTGAGAGGAAGCCACAGGAGGAGGGAGCAAGCTTGTTTTCTGCTTCCCTGGAGACTAGGACTCGAAACAATGGCTTCAAACTACAAGAAAGGAGATTCCATCTGAACATGAGGAAGAACTTCCTGACTGTGAGAGCCATTCAGCAGTGGAACTCTCTGCCCCAGAGTGTGGTGGAGGCTCCTTCTTTGGAAGCTTTTAAACAGAGGCTGGATGGCCATCTGTCAGGGGATTTGAATGCAATATTCCTGCTTCTTGGCAGGGGGTTGGACTGGATGGCCCATGAGGTCTCTTCCAACTCTTTGGTTCTATGATTCTATGATTCTAAGTACTCAACATAGTGTATGGATGTCCATTGACAGAGAGGACAGATGAACCAAGGTTATTCATATTTGGAAGAAATGTTGAAGTCATGACAAGTCTTCTTGCAAAGGAAAGCTGAAAAAGCTTTATGGGAATTCTCAGGAGCAGAACTTGAAAACTACTTCCATAAAATATAGGTTCACTGTTGTTAAGTGTGTCTGTTTTTTCAGCTAAAGTATTGTGACTCAGTTTGATTCTGAGTCTGAAACTGAACCCTGTGGGTCAGAGTTCCTTGATGAAGAGGATGATGGGATTCAGATTTCTGTGCCTGCCTTAGACAGTGCAGCAGGGGAAACATCAAGTCAGTTCTCAGAGGAAAAGAATGTCATTGGGATAGATAACGGCCAGGTGGAATTGTCTTTGCCTTCTCAGCCTTCCCACGGTGATATAATCCTGCTGGACCAAGATAAAGAGAGCCTTGAAGATAGTGAATTAATGAGCAGGCAAGAATTAGAATTAAGGGTCTGGAGGAGCTCTCGCTTAGCTGGTAAGCGAGAAGCCAAGTCGGCCAAGGGTCATTGCAATGCATTCATGATTGCAAAGGGTATTTAGCCTTCTGGCTGACAAACGGGAGTTGTCAGTTCAACGTGGCGCTTTCCATGCAAACTTCTATGGATTAACCTTGGCTTTAAGCAGCATGCTTTTGGCTTCCTGAATCTGGGATTCTGGGTCTTGTGTTTCACTGTTTTACCATGGACTCTTGTTTGATCATTGCCTTAAGGATTATGCTTCATGTTTTTGCTTTGGGATCTTGAGTACTGTGTTTTTGCATTTAAGCCTTTGTCCTGCTTATGGAACTTTTACATTTCTTATTCTATTATTTTGACTTTGCTTTTTTCTCAATAAACTACAAAATCTACAGCCCTGATGTGGTGGTGTTTGGGAGCAACATAAAGCTTGCTAAATTGCAGGAAGATGTACAGTTTCCCACATTGCTCAGTTTATATTTATCACTTAGTTGTTTCATCCTCTCATATTTACCCTCATTGAAACCTAATTTTAACCTAGCCTATATATTAAAGTAATAAATAAATATTAGTCTATTATCCATCAAAGTGAGAAAAACATCATCCATCAAATTGGATTAGCAGACAAACAAAATTCTGACTACTCCTGACAAGACACGAGAAAGCATATATGAACTTCTGGGGTTGAGAAAATGAGCAGCAAGGAAAAGGGGAACATTCAAAGCAACACAAGGTTGTATATCCCATCACAATACAGTTATATTTCCAGTTTTCAACCAGGAAATTCAAAAGTGGTTTTGTCCTCATACAAACAGGTATAGTTACTAGTGCAAATAAGGAGCTAGATTGCATCAAAAATCAGAAGATATTCTACTCACTGTGCTGAAATCGGGGAGGATTGTCATTAACATCAGAAATGTTGATGGTTACAGTTGTTGTTGCAGAATGTTTGCTTGCTTGGCCAACTCTTGCTTGGATAAGAACAAAGTACTGATCTTGGGTTTCCCTGTCCACTGGGTAAAGAGTTCTTATGATTCCTACAAAACATGCAATAAGAATTTGAGAAGAGCCTAGTTGCATTAAAATCCTTTATGGGTTGTTGTAGGTTTTTCCGGACTATATGGCCAAGTTCTGGAGGCAATTTTTCTCCTGACGTTTCGCCTGCATCTATGGCAAGCATCCTCAGAGGTAGTGAGGTCTGTTGGAAGTAGGAAAAATGGGTTTATATATCTGTGGAATGACCAGGGTGAGACAAAGGACTTTTGTCTGCTGGGGCTAGGTGTGAATGAATATTCACACAGATATATAAACCCATTTTTCCTACTTCCAACAGACCTCCCTACCTCTAAGGATGCTTGCCATAGATGCAGGCGAAACGTGAGGAGAAAAATTGCCTCCAGAACATGGCCATATAGCCCAGAAAAACCTACAACAACCCAGTGATTCCGGCCATGAAAGCCTTCGACAATACAAAATCCTTTATGCTCCACCATTATTTTTCCTGTAGAGGCTAAATGAATGGATAACACTAGAATAAAAAATATGAGAATTCCCATAGGCAGACACAATTTTTGTGGTTTTCCTATAAGCCAGAAGCAGGGCAGTGACTCCTCTCCTGAACTGGGCATGTTCACCCTCTTCAAAGTCCTTTAATAGGGCCAAAACCTGGATTCGGTGGTCCCATTTACTCTGGCTTGAGTCAAAAAGACTCCTATTTCCCTGCTAAAAGAAATACAGCGGTCCCTTGGTAGCTACTGAGGTTGGGTTCCAGAATCCTCTAAAATCTGTGAGTGCTCAGGTCCCATTGTATACAATACCACAATGAAATGGTGTTCCTTATATGAAATGGTGCTATCAAGATTTGCTTTGGGATTTTATAAAAATGTTATCGTGTCATGGATTGTTGAGTATATGGATACAGAATCTGTGGCTATGAAGGGCTGACTGGATAGAAATTTCAACTGAGGCTGGAAAACTTAGGTGGTGGCTTTACTAGCCAAGGACATGAATTAAACCTACATCTGGCTTTCTCCAGTCCCACCCTCCAAGAGACTTGTCAGTTTCCACTTAGTTGGAGCTCTAACACAATCCCTGAAACATATAAAATGTGGGAAAAAGGGCAAGCTGAGAAATACAATGAAAATGCTCCATAATGTTTATCTGCCTTTTATAACCTGAAAATGATTATTTCTGTAAGCAGAGGAAGCCATTTTGTTATAAGTGTAAGATCTACCTTGCAGCTTTCTTCTATTGTTTCAGGGTAAGAAGAGTTGAGTCCCAATAATAATAATAATAATAATAATAATAATAATAATAATAATAATAATTTTTATTTATACCCTGCCACCATCTCGCCCAATAGGGACTCGGGGCGGCTTACATGAGGCTAAGCCTGAACAACAGATTACAGCAAACTAAAACCAAAAACACTAAGCAACAAACAACATCATAATTACATAAAAACATATGAATACATTAAGCAATATACAATTACAATAAACACAATCACAATGACAATGGGTGGGCCGCATGTGCAGGATAAAATGTTAAAAACTCAGGGTGAGATAAAAAAGGAACAGGTTAATTGCAAAGGAGATCTCATAAAAATGAGGTTGTAGAACCAAACTTTCCCATGGGGGGGGATGTACTCCAGTGACAGAAATGTTGAGGGGAGCAGTTGTGTGAGGTTGTATACCTACTCACCAAAGGCACAGTGGAAGAGCCAGGTTTTAAGGTTCTTTTTAAGGTTTCTAAGGTTGGACTTTCCTAATCTCTCGGGGTAATGAGTTCCAGAGTTGGGAGGCCACAGAGGAGAAAGTTCTGTCCCTTGTGCCCACAAGAAGAGCCTGTGAAACTGGCAGGGGTGAAAGGAGGGCCTCCCCAAAAGATCGAAGAGCCCGGGCTGGTTCATGGAGGGAGATATGGTCATGAAGGTAGGCATCATTATGTGATGCCTGAAGAATAATCCCTATGGCTCCTTTTCATAAAGAAACATAACAGAATTTTTGAGCAATATCTACCCCCACAATATGAGTTTTATTCCTAGTATCCCCACATGAACCTACAGAAGAGATAATAGTGGGCATGGGCACTTGCATGGGGTATTGATTTTCAGACTATTGAAAACCCTGAGAACTGTTCATAATATCAGCATATAATAAAATTGCACTTGTGCTTGGGATTCATTTGCTTTCATTCATAATTTACTGTTGTTTAATTAACTGTAGACTAGAATATGGAAAATAGAAAATGGTAGCCAAGCAGGTATTTAAAGTAATGTGCTGTACTTGAACAAATAAGATATGATCCAGTTCCTAGATCAACTGTTTAACTTCTTTAACAAAGTGTCACTAATGACCTGCTTTGCAAGGGCTCTTGAGTATTGGATCTGATGGTAAAAATGAGATGCTATAACAAGTCAACTGTATTGGCTATTTATTTTTTCCATTTATTTCTTATCAAAGTAGCTCTGTGGATAACAAACATTACCTGTTGTTGGCTCCACAGAGAAATAGGGCTGTTCTGGGGGGATGCTGTAAAATAGTCGAGCACCCATTGAATCTGGACCTCTAGCTGTAACCTGGATCACTGATGTACCTGAACAAAAATTGGATGAGACACGTCATTGTCATGAGCATAAAGATAGAACACCTATGGATGCAAACAAGTTAGCAATGAATTAGTATTATCACATTTTTTTTTCCTGAGAGACTTTTCATTGGAAACAACCATGAGCCAGGAAGGATTTAGGAGAAGCTAAACCTGTTGAATTTGACAATGGCAAATTGCAGATAATCTTATATAGTTTTGATCAATTGATCAAATTTTACACATTAGTTATAACAAGGGTGAAAATGAATTTGATGATTAAATCACGCCAGTGCAGAACAAAGTGAAATTTACAAGTTTTCCCATGGGAATACTTCAATGCAGGAAAAAAAGAGAAACACTGACTAATTTCCATACCTCTATATGGAGATAATTTTCTGTCACAAGTATACCATTTGCTTGGTAAATGTGTTTTTTAAAAAATAATAATGCATAAACAATTTAAATTACAATCAAAATAATACACACGTTAAAAAGTACACAAAATAAGAAGAAGACAAAAAAGGAGAAAAGAAGATATACAGCTAATATACACTAGGATTCTGACCTCCCAAATCCGACTATAATGAAAAGTAAAGTAAAAAAAGAATGGAACCATTGCAGATTAAACTTTTAAAAACCCTGTTACAATTATTAATAACTATAACCACAAACTATTGCCTTATTACATTCCTTATCATTCAGAAATCCATAAAAGGATTCCAGTCTTTCAAAATGTTTGGAACTAGTTTATCCTTTGACCATTACTTTGACCATTTGATTCAACTCAACATTCTTAACAATTCATTCTTCCATTGCTGGTGTTCAGCCAGTTTCCATATTGAAGACAGCACTACTCTTGCTGCTGTTCTTATGTATGTATAAAAGATGTCATCCATATTTATTTTCTAGTTTCTTTATCCGTAATGACCAATAAAACACTTGTGACAATATTACAAAATCTACCCTTTTTGGATATGTGTGTGTGTGTATCTTAGCCCAGCAACTTTTTACATACTTACAAATCCACAGCATAAGCAAAAGGAGTCTTCATTTTCTTGATATCTCAATATGGATTTCAAATATTCTGACATCTTTTGACAGTGTATTTGGGGTTAAATACCACATATACATTATCTTGTACAGCTTTTCTTTAAGTGACTGCATAATATAAATTTTATATATTTGGACCACATTTCCCCCCAATGTTCCATATGGACATTACACTGAAAATTTGAGAGCCAGCTTATCATGTGCTTTTTTAAACAAATGTCTATCTGTAGTTTCAAAAGCTGTTCACAGGACATCCTCCACGGTCATGGTGGGTTTGTTCCAAGACCTCGTATGGATATCTAAAACCATGGATAAAAGTAAACTCTGTGTTTTCATAGAATTATAGAATCACAGATTTGTAAGAGACTACAAGACCTATCCGGTCAGTCAGTCAATCTAGGTTCTTGTGGGTTTTTTCGGGCTATAGAGCCATGTTCTAGAGGCATTTCTCCTGACGTTTCGCCTGCATCTATGGCAAGCATCCTCAGAGGTTGAGAAGGTCTGTTGGAAGTAGGAAAAATGGGTTTATATATCTGTGGAATGGCTGGGGTGGGGCAAGGAGCTCTTCCCTGCTGCAGTTAGGTGTGAATGTTTAGCTGATCACCTTCATTAGCATTTGAAGGCCTGCCTGAGTCTGGGAAAATCTGTTGCTGGGAGGTGTTAATCTGTGCCTGGTTTTTTCCTTTCTGTTGTTTAGCTGTTATAATTTTAGAGTTTTTTAATACTGGTAGCCAAATTTTGTTCATTTTCATGGTCTCTTCCTTTCTGTTGAAATTGTCCACATGCTTGTGGATTTCAATGGCTTCTCTGTGTAGTCTGACATGGTGGTTGTTTGAGTGGTCCAGCATTTATGTTTTCAAATAATATGCTGTGTCCAAGTTGGTTTGTCAAGTGCTCTGCTATGGCTGACCACTATGGCTGAAGTAGTCTGCAAGTGCCTTTCATGTTCCTTGAATCGTGTTTGGGCAATGCTGCTTTTGGTGGTCCCTATGTAGACTTGTCCACAGCTGCATGGTATACGGTAGACTCCTGAAGAGGTGAGGGGATCCCTCTTGTCCTTTGCTGAACGTAGCATTTGTTGGATTTTCTTGGTGGGTTTGTAGATTGTTTGTATGTTGTGTTTCCTCATCAGCTTCCCTATGCGATCAGTGGTTCCCTTGATGTATGGCAGGAACACTTTTCTTCTGGGTGGATCTTCACTGATCGCATAGGGAAGCTGATGAGGAAACACAAAGGATTAGTAAATTGTGTTGTGAGAAATCATCCATTTATTTTCACTAAAATAAGCTGGTTACTATTTTTCTAAAAAACATATTCCATTTCTTTACCATTGTTGGTAATCACTTTACATCAACTTTTGTTTTGCATATATGGATACATTATTCATGTCAACTGCTCTCTTACTTCTCCACTGGTGCTAATATAGATTTAAGGAATGGCAATAAAAGGCTCCATATAAAAACTAAAGTAAGAGACTATATCAATCTCTAATTTAATGCCTGTGGTGCAGCTTAGAAGAGTGAAACTCAGAACAAGCAATGCATCCAAGACACACAACAGGATTCTGATAAGTTTTTGTATCCTTGAGGTTTGTAATGAACATTTTCTGTTGCAGAACAGATAGTACAATCCATCCACAGAAAACAATTTCATCTATATTTGGAAGCTAGCCATATCCTAGATCTAAATCTGAATACCATCCCTAAAGGCCATCAGAAAGATTATACCATGAAGGAAATTTTCAGCAGGTTCTTTTTTTAAAATGATGTGTTATAACTCATTTCTTACTTAACTTCTAAATAAAACACAAATCAACTTTCCTCCTGGAGGGAAACAAGACCTACAGCCACTTTCCATAACTTTCTGTTATAGAATCACATTATCACATCTTATTCCCAGACATTATGCTACTGAATGTTCGCTGATAAATTTGCTGATAAATTAGTCAGCAGCACCCTGAGGACTTTTAGTTGCTGATCTAAAAATGATCATATTATCTGTAACAATGTTGATAGAGAAGATGACTGTTTTCAAGGCATCAAAAGAAACTATCCAAATTTTAAGCTTTTCTACCATGTCTCGTGTAACATTCCATATCACATGTGGAATCATTGACTTGATTAAAATAGCAGTGTGCCTTCTTAAATATATCTGATTATGCAGCATGCAGCCTTAAATGTATCTGGATGGATCACAACAAGTTTAGGAAGGCAGAAAATCATTACTAGTAGATAATCCTCAGGATGCTGCCTGCTTTTAAAAGTTGTTCCTCCATACAAATGGTTTTAATTTCCATTAAATATAGAAAAATATTAAATTCATGTGCTCTTTACATGTACTTACACTCAGCTGAATAAAAAAATATAAGAAAAACTTGTTAACCCACTAAATATTTTGTTATTTGAAAATTCATAAGCACAATTCCATTTCCTGACTGGTGATGCACTTTTTGTTTGGGAAGGCCATTTGCCAGAAACAGTTGGTAAGGAGAGACTGACTTTACATGCTATCATACAACACACTAAAGAGGAGCAAATGCTATTTAAAATTGGTCCCTGTCTTGTGCAGGTCTCTTTCTCTGCAATGGCTCCCTTCTCTCCCTCTTTCTTAAAATGTATGCAGGGTTAGCTGGTGTTTCTAGGAGGCTGAGTAAGATTATTTGGCTCATTTGTGCTTTACATGTTTTTTTTTAATTACTATTATTGGTTTAATCTTCCACAGGTTAATCCATGGTAAGGTTCATTTGTATTGGGTGTTGTTCGGCTTGGAAATAGTAATTGGTACCAATTTGACAATGATGTGCAGGTGGAAGATATTAGAGACATGGTGCTTGTGTTTCTGGAGTCTCCTTTTCAGACAGCCTAGGTCAGAGACTAACACTCTAGGATTACAAGACCCCATGTGCAAGATGTGGCTATATCTTTATGGTCAACCAGCTATCCAAAGGCACTGGGAAGACCATCCTACACTCTTTGTGGTGTGACTGTGGGTGAAGAAGAGAAGTTTTGCTTCATTCCTTTCCCTAGGTTAGGAATATCTACTCTGGCAGCCTTTAGGTCTTTAGCTTGGGTAGGTTGTCGCTGCACATTAGTTCCCCTCTGTTGATCATTTTCATTGGATTTCATAAATGATTGTTCTAGTTCAATTAAGCTTTTGTGTCTGCCTCTTTATTTCTTCTTTCTTTCTGTAAAAATGTCAGAGAGGAGGTAAAATAATTAAAGGTGTAAAAATCTTGCTCATGTTTAATTTTCTTTTTTTAAAAAAATCCTTGATTTATTACTGTCCTGAAAATAATGAGATATTTTTAAATGTTCTCTCATTTGCCACAGCCAGATTCAATAAGTGCATTTTCTGCCAACATGAGGTGTAACCATTAAAAATGAGGAGTCTACTAGAGAAATAGGACAGAAACTCTGATTTAGCAGTGAAGTTGTTCCATACGCAGGAAAACAAATCCAGTTTGTGGATTGAAGATTTGACATTCTCTCTCATTTTTTTCCAAATAATGTTGTTTCTTTCCCAAATATGACAAAATTCCTGGATCATGTTAATCATGTTAAGGTATCATGTTAATGTATCAAAAATAAACTGAAATGAATTTTTATCTATTTTATCTATCTCTAAAGAATGATTGGGATTTAATCAAAACCAACATTAAGCCTCACCAATGTTGTGAATCAACTCTAGGAAGCCCTAACACAAATTATGTTAATTCATGCATTAATTCACATTCCGCATTTTACGCTAGAGCAGGACATTGGATTTACCTCTAAGATAATATTTTTTAAAACTAATTAAACTAATTAGTGCTAGTTTATTGGGTGACCTTGGGCTTGTCTCCATCACTCAGCATAAACTGTGTTCCAGGATGGTTTTGACGAGAGGGCAGTATATCATCTGGATAGCTTTACACATAGAGTAGGATAAACCTTTTCTAAATAAAAATCTTTGAGAAAGTGGAAATTATTAAACAATATGGACAAATATCATGAAAATAACTGGAACATTATGTGAAGAAAGTTTTAAATTATATTTCAGACCTGCTAGAATACTAAGCATAAACTCTGCAACCCAATCTCTCACATTTTTAGATATGCATTGGATTTGCAGACCTTTAAGCTATATTACACTTCATGCAAGTTAGCGAATTCTGGAGGGAAATCTATAGCCTTATATTTTGCAAGAGGCTATTTGCTATTACATTTTTACTCAATGTAATGTTTCCACTGGAAATCTGAATAAAATTCAGAACTAGGAAAGTGTGCTAAATCTTAAACTAATATATATTCATTGGTAATGCAGCTATTGATTCTTGAAACTCACTTGGGGATAAATATTCTGCTATATAACCTACAGATGCTCAGTGGAGATAGGAAAGTATCTGAACATATATAGCCATTAGAAAAGAAGCTATTTTTATAGTGAAAACTAGATTTGTGGATCTTGGACTTCAGGACTTTTGATATTTATTAGAAACTGAACAAAATGCTAGCAGAACCCCAAAGTAGGTGCAGAAAGATGTCATGGCATTAATAAGATTGAGAACCATCTAATACCTCTCCTTGCCAACTTAGGAATCTAATACAAAAGCACCTTGAAGAGATGACCACCAAACTTCTCTGAGTTAGGTTGTCCCACTATTGAATGGCTCTTGCCACAAATAGTTTCTTCTTAATGTTTAGTCTGAATCACCCTTTTTCTAGTTATAGCCCTAACCTCTGGAGCCCTAACCTCTGGAGTAGTATAAAACAATCTTGCTGCCTCTTCTGACAGTTCTTCATACACTGAAGATTAGCTATCGTATTATCCTTGAATCAATTTTTTCCTAGCTAAGAATACCCAGATCCCTCAAATATTTCCATACCACTTATGATCTTGAGTGTGTTTCTCTATGCAAATTACAATATTGATCCAATGCAGTAAATCATAACTAAAAAGATAGAAGGAACATGGAGAAAGTCCAGAGTAATGCCAGTGGTTGCTCAAATGAGTCAGACTAAAGACAGATAGACTAGACAGGAAGAAACACAAATTATTTTCATACTTTTAATTGGTTTGGCTGCTCTGGGTAAGGCTGGTATCCAATCAGATAGAGTTAATTTTGTCTGGCTTCCATAACAGTCTTCTTAGTACATGTGCAAGTGAGCAGAATCAAATGTGAACTCCTAGAGAGTGGAAGTCACTTTGAGAGAGAGATAAGGCTATGATAATTTTGATTAGGGATGAATGGACAAGGATAGAGCAGATTTAATTTTCATTTGGGTTTGATAAGAATTCACCACATGCACCAATTTCTTTCTATCTGAGATAGGAGAAGCTTTTTTTTTAAATGAATATGAGAGTTCACAAGTTCACTCATCCATTCCAGGCTCTGAATACTTTATTCATAAAAGTCAATATGTACATCATACCATCTGAACACTTCATTAGCATTACTACCACATGATATTAGTACTATATTTTTAATGTCTATGTGGCAAATATGTTGAGATCAGATGGTCTTTTGCTTACTGGAGTGATTTCTTATTACTGCTGGGTGAGAACTTTGCTTCAATGTACAAACATGTACAAATTTCTTTATATTCATTCTAATGCACTTCAGGAATTCGATACATACCATTTTTTCAAAGACTAACTGATTGAAAAATAAATGAATGCATAGTCCAGTCTGCCAGTCTGACTCTGGCCACACTCCAAAGTGCTGACATATCTGGTAGACAATATCTGATAGACAATATCTTTCTATATGGACCTTCCTAAGCTTCTGAGATCCCAAGGAGAGGCCTTTCTCTTCTTTCCACGTCATTTGGAGGCATGATTGTTGGAGATGTGAGATATAGCCTTCTAGTGACTGCCTCTAGGATTTAGAATATTAAAATCCCACTATGCCCATTAATGTTACCATATATTTTAGAAAAAATGGCATTCATAACCTTTTGGAAAAGGAAAAATTATGTCATATCCTTTTGGCAAATGTGAATCTCCATGAACATCTGGAGACCACCTTTTGAAAACCACTTTGCATATTTGAGGGAATTTTCTACATGCTTTTCAGACAAAAAACATTTCCATAATATCTATATATATGAGGTTTGGGGCAGCCTGGTGGACACATGAGTGAGCTCCAGAGTCTTTCTTCTTCAAGCTAGAACAATAGAAACTTTCACGGATCCAAAATGCTGCTCCAAGGGAGGAACAGTTCTACAGTAACAGTATAATGCAGCTCAAAACAGGCTTGAGAGCAGGATGTTCACAAAACATACAGTCACAATATGCACTGCAATATGCATAAAGAGAAAAACTGCTTTTTAAAAAAAAAAATCCAGGAACGCCTAAGTTCTTTCAAAAAATGTGCTGCAGCTGATCTTGATATATCCCAAATCTATGGAGAAATTGTTTTGCACAAAGTGCAAAACATATAGGAGACAACTTCCCCCGCAGAAACGCAGTAAAAGATGCCAAAGGAGTGGGCTGCCAAAAATGGTCCAAGGGCATTGCTGGGCAGCAGGGGGCTAACTGACCCCTTGGGAGGGAAAATTGACAATGTCTACCCCTTTGTGTAAATTTCCCTTTTTTCACCCTTATGCCTCTGGTGCACTGATGGGAAATAGAAAAATAACTCTGTGAAGTGGATGGAGGCCAGGTTCAATGTAATCACTTTCCTGGTTTCGAACCGGTTCTGGACTTGTCAATCTATGATAATCATCCTGCAGTAGAACAGATTCCTTTTAGTCCACTTCCAAACTGGGTTATATTGTCTGTGTAGAATTGACCTAGATTGATGAGTGAATTCTTTTTCAAATACACATTTTAATAGTGATAGCATATTTCTTGAGCACAATTGCAGCAACAGTATAAAAACAGAAAGTATAATATGAAATACCTTCTGCAGACATTTCAGGAACAGTGGCTTCATAAGGTCCATCCAAAAACTGTGGCCAGTTGTCAGCCAGAGAGCTGTCTTGCTTCTCTAAGTCAGACTTGACCTGGAAGAAAAATGAGTAATACGCTGATTTCCAAGTAGTATTAAAACAAAGCAGTATTGAAATATTTGATGTGATAATGACATTATTAATAATCAGCGATGTGTTTTAGACATTGATTTATATTATACATAAAAATAAACAAAGGTATGAATAACATGTAAAATATGGTGATGTGTCATTTTAGTTGCAAAAAAAAAGATGCTTTGCTTCTCTGCAAAAATATCTTTGGCAGCAATTTCTACCTGTTGCAAAAACTGGGACTCTCAATATTTGACAAATATTGATATTATCCTTTCTAGAATACTAGCACAATCATCATTTGAATTTGGCAGCCATTAGGAGTTAGCCCAGGAATGCTTGTCATGGTTTTTTGAGTGGTTGAATTGCAAAAATGAGAAGCTCAACAACCATCAATAAAATATAAAGCAAATCAAATATAATTTGCTTTGGCTATTAATGAGAAGCACATTTACCCAAAAATCCCTCAAAATGATAAACACTGATTCTCAAATTTATGAAAAGCCAGTTGACTGAAATAAAAGCTTCCAATCTGCTCTCCATTCTGGATTTAAATCTCTAAATATGCAAAAGTAAAAGAAATGTAAAAGAAAATTAGTAAAAGATGTTTTTTTTTTCTGATGGCACCTAACACCCCAGCAGTTAGCAAGGTTTTACAAAAATCATGATAATAAATGCTGGAAACGTGGGAAAGAATTGGGGACTTTTTTCCACTCTTGGTGGTCCTGTAAGGAAATCAAAAAATATTGGGGGAAAATACACAATCACTCTCAAAAAATATAAAAACTAAAATTTTATCCAAGGCCTGAATACTATCTATTTAATTTGACAGATTTTGAAATAGGGAGGAATAAAGTCAAGATATGCTTTTACTTGACTACTGTGGCAAGAACTCTTCTAGCTCAGAAGTGGTGCTAGAAGAAATCCCAAAGGTGGACTCCTGGATTATAAAACTCATGGACTACATGGATATGGACTCCCTAATCTTCTTAATTCAAGATCAGAAAGAGAAGCATAAGACGAATTGGGCACCACTTAAAGAATATCTTCATAAACTACTCTAACTCTGTTCAGTTAGAGAAGTTTATGAGAAAGACTAGAGAAAAGAAAATCAGGTTAAAGCTGTGAGAGTTTGATGAGGAAAATAAAAAGAAGAACTTTATTTTTCTACCCTGCCTCCATCTCCCCGAAGGAACTCGGGGCAGCTTACATGGGGCCAAGACCAAAGCAAAATACAATTAAGGCAAGCAATATCGAATTAAAACAGCATAAAACAGCATAAAAACGGCATAGTAATAATAATAAGCATCAAAAGCAACAGCAGACTAGTTTTGGAGGGGGAGTGGAAGGATCTTTATGTGAGCTGGTTGAAAGATAAGGTGGTTTGATAAGGTGGATAGCAATGTATAATAGGATAGGGAATAACTGGCAAAATAGGGAAAGATGAAACAAACTCCCTGTAGAATGGACCGGAAGACAACGATCCCTCAACCCGCAACCCTTTGTATTACTGTCCCTTCTTTCCCTCCACCTCCACCCATTATGATACACACACCCCTTGAGGAAACACAACATATAAACTATCTACAGACCCACCAAGAAAATCCAACAAATGCTATGTTCAGCAAAGGACAAGAGGGATCCTCTCACTTCTGCAGGAGTCTACTGTATACCATGCAGCTGTGAACAAGTCTACATAGGGACCACCAAATGCAGCATTGCCCAAACACGAATCAAGGAACATGAAAGGCCCTGCAGACTACTTCAACCAGAGAAGTCAGCCATAGTAGAGCACCTGATGAACCAACCTGGACACTACATATTATTTGAGAACACAGAAATGCTGGACCACTCTCACAACCACCATGTCAGACTACACAGAAAAGCCATTGAAATCCACAAGCATGTGGACAATTTCAACAGAAAGGAGGAAACCATGAAAATGAACAAAATCTGGCTAACAGTATTAAAAAACTCTAAAATTATAATAGCAAAACAGCAGAGAGGAAACAATCAGGCACATCTAATCACCTCTCAACAAAATATTGCCCCAGGCACTGCCAGGCCATTAAATGCTAATCAAGGTGGTCACTTGAAACATTCACACCTAGCTCCAACAGACAAGAGTTCTTTGTCCCACCCTGGTCATTCCACAGGGTGGAATATAAACCCATTTTCCTAGTTCCAACAGACTTCACTACCTCTGAGGATAACATAATTCAGATAAATTATAACCAACTATGGAAGAAAATAAGCAAACAGATTAACAATTGGAAAAAATGGAATTGGGATATAACAACAAGGGTGAAGACATATAAAATGATGATACTGCCCAAACTTTTGTACTTATTTCAATGCCTTCCATGTAGCATTCCTCCCAAAATAATAAAGAAATGGGATAACTCAATTAAAACATGGGTAGTAGGTTCTAGTAAAACCAGAATTGCAAATTCAATTTTTTATACTCCACAAGAAAATGGAGGTTGGGGAGCACCTTGCCTCCAGAACTATTACGAAGCCTGTCAATTGGCTAGGCTACTTGAATTAGATATCGGTGAGCCCAAAAGATGGGTTAGGTTAGAGAAATTAACAAACGGGTGGGAATATGGATCTTGCATTATGGGGAAAATTGGGGGAAAAGAACTAAAAAACATAAAAGGAGGCCCCTTGTCATTAACAATGACTTGTTGGGGAAAATGGCAAAATAAACTCCCAGTAAATAAAATAGACAAGCTCCCAATAGGTTCCTTAGACAACAGAAAACCCCAGCTATATCGCAACATGCTAAAGAAACTGGAACAAAACGGAATAACAAAGATTGAGGATTTACTAAAACCAGACGGGACTGTAATTCAATGGGAGGAAATAAAAGATAAATGCGGGCTTGGAAATTGGTTACAATGGGGAGGGCTGTCCAAAAAGCTAACAGAATTGAAGAATAAGGAAACCTCTGAAACAAATCTCGACAAAATAATAAAATGGAAAGTAGAGAGGGAGAAAGGAGTCATGGGATTTATATATAACACAATCACCGAAATACAATACAACACAAAATCTACCCTAATAGAAGTCTGGAAGGAGGAATTAAGCTGCAGTGAGAGAGAAATAGACAATTGGATTAATTCAATCAATAAAATAAAACACCTAAAGATTAAAGAAATGCAACGAAAAATATTGACAAAATGGTACAGAACTCCTGTGCAACTGGCGCATATCACAAAAACGTGCCCAAAATTATGTTGGCACAACTGTGGTAAAATAGGAACATATGCCCACATGTGGTGGGAATGTGAAAAAATCCAAAAGTTCCAAGAAATAATCAGAAAAGAAATGGAGGAACTATTAGGGATCAAGATAGAAAGGAATAAGGCCCAATTTTTCACTCAGAAATTCGAAAGTAAAGAGGAATATAAGGAAAGTGAGGAAATAATAAAACATATGATAGAGGGAATTAAAGCCTCAGTGGCCCTGGGCTGGAAAGACCACAAGAAATGGGATACAAAAACCTGGTACAAATATTTAGCAGATTACCTTCTTCAAGATTATATTAGCGAAAGGAAAAGTTACTATATGACGGGTCAAAGCAAAAAGACATGGAAAGCAAAATGGAAGGGTCTCATATATAGAATAAAGGGGAAAGATAAATATACGGTGTTGAACAAAACTATTCTCATGATTGAACAATTGTAATAAACACAGCTAAAGTATTTATTTGTTCCCGGGGGGGGGGGGGGGGGGGTGTGCTGGTGGCGGGATTGGGGAAAAAACTGGTATTTTGAATGTTATTTTCAAAGATGGTATGTTTCTATGTATTATACAATAATAATAATAAAAATTTAAAAAAAAGGAGAAAATGCTTCTAGAACATGGCCATATAGCCCGTAAAAACCTATAGCAACCCAATTTGGCTTATTATTATTATTATTATTATTATTATTATTATTATTTCTTACTCTTCTCTCCTCATGGCTCACAGCAAGTTTCAAAACAAAATATATAAGCAAAGCTAAAACACTACAAATAAACACACTAAAACATATCTCCATAAAAGTTACACACCAAAATGTATCTCCACAAAATACCAACTAAAACACATAAAACGGAGATTAAACAAAGGATACTTAAAATCATTGTTGAAAGACTGGGTAGGCCTGCCAGAAGAGATAGGTATTTACATGGTTTTAAAATTCTGACAGCTAATTTAGCTGTCAAATTTCTTCTGGCAGGTTGTTCCACAGTCGTGGGGCAGCCAATAAAAATGTTTGCTTTTGGGATTCCCCCCCCCCCCACTCTTTTTGGTATATTTTCAAAGCCATGGATGGTATTGCTCATACTTTTAGCCTTCTACAAGTTGAAACACTACATCTGTTTTTTACATAGCTCACTGTTCATTTTAGAAAAGGCAAATCTTCAATAAGTTCAAAAGTTCAACATGTTTTGTGACCTTTCCTTTTAAAAAATAAAATGGGTACCAAGTATGTAGATGCAACAAATATGTGATTCTGTATTAAGTTCCCTTTGAAATGAGACATCATATTTCCACAATAGCTTTGACTGGCTGTGAAAAGTAATTAATGTATTTTGAGCACTTCACCCTTTGGGCCCAATTAAATTTTAGTGCTAGTTAATTAGTGGTTAAACTTTTTGCCATCCGTTCAGCGTGAACATCGCCTTGCAGGAATGTATTGCTGAGATTGAGAGATTAAAAATGGCTCTAGCTTAATTTTTGTTTTGTCTTTTGTAAAAAAGGAAGTAAATAAAAGCAACAGAGAAAAGAGAGAAGAATCCTAAGAACATTAGTAGGCAATGTATATTTTAAGCAGGTTGGGGAAAAATAATTGCTTATTGTGCCAAAACCATGTGAACGTAATGAACCATGCAGGTTCACTGAGCTTTCTTACTGGTAAAAGGATTTAGTATTAATCTGTTTCATTAAAATTAATGAAGGGTAAATCAGTGGCTACTTAATGTAATAGAATACCCAACAAAAGCATGTTGGTAAACTCATGCATTGTTGCTCAGTGTGGCAGCTCTGATGCAAGGCCGGAGAGGAAGAAGAGGAAAAGGAAGAGGAAGAGGAAGAAGAAGAAGAAGAAGAAGAAGAAGAAGAAGAAGAAGAAGAAGAAGAAAAAGAAGCTACAAAGCAACAAATGTGAATAAATGATTTTACCTCAGAAGATGGAAGGGAATTTTCAAAAACCTTTGTCCATAAACTGCTTGGTATTTTTTTTCAACCAGATGTTGTCTCCCTTTTTTTACAGAGCACTCGTAATAAAGGAAAATTACTAAAAGTATTATGTATGAAATAACTTCCAGGCTGTATTTATAAATAGTATTTGAAACTTAAATAAATTTCATGTTCGGACTTGGGTACTATCTCCAATATTTCTGATGTACATGTAAGTACATCAGAATACTTCTGATTCCTAGTATTTCAGATAAAAAACTACTTAACATTTATATGTTTCAGTATTTGTCAAATATGTAGACAAAGCCTTATGAGAACCATCATGTCGCCATCATATGGAGCTGCCCAAAATCTAAGCTCTATCTACATAGAGCTTAGCTCTATCTCACCCAATCTTTTTAACTTGTATGCAGAACACATCATGCGATGTGCGGGGCTTGATGAATGCAAAACTGGGGTAAAAATTGCTGGAAGAAACATTAACAACCTCAGATATGCAGATGACACCACTCTGATGGCCGAAAGCGAGGAGGAGCTGAGGAGCCTTCTAATCAAGGTGAAAGAAGAAAGCGCAAAAGCCGGGTTGCAGCTAAACATAAAAAAAACCAAGATTATGGCAACAAGAATGATTGACAACTGGAAAATAGAGGGAGAAAACGTGGAGGCCGTGATAGACTTTGTATTTCTAGGTGCAAAGATTACTGCAGATGCAGACTGTAGAAATCAGAAGACGCTTACTTCTTGGGAGGAGAGCAATGTCCAATCTCGATAAAATAATAAAGAGTAGAGACATCAGACTGGCAACAAAGATCCGCCTAGTCAAAGCCATGGTCTTCCCTGTAGTAACCTACGGATGTGAGAGCTGGACCTTAGGGAAGGCTGAGCGAAGGAGATCGATGCTTTTGAGCTGTGGTGTTGGAGGAAAGTTCTGAGAGTGCCTTGGACTGCGAGAAGATCCAACCAGTCCATCCTCCAGGAAATAAAGCCCGGCTGCTCATTGGCGGGAAGGATACTAGAGACAAAGTTGAAGTACTTTGGCCACATCATGAGGAGACAGCAAAGCCTAGAGAAGACAATTATGCTGGGGAAAGTGGAAGGCAAAAGGAAGAGGGGCCGACCAAGGCAAGATGGATGGATGGCATCCTTGAAGTGACTGGACTGACCTTGAAGGAGCTGGGGGTGGTGACGGCCGACAGGGAGCTCTGGCGTGGACTGGTCCATGAAGTCACGAAGAGTCGGAGACGACTGAACGAATGAACAACAACAACATCTACATAAGAGGTTCTGTTGTTTTCTCAGCATCCCAAAAATAATGCAGGTGGGTCAACAGTCATCCATCTGTAGTAGCATCCAACTGACAGATACTGAGGCCTAAATTAAACCTGGAGCAGATTTACAATTCTTTTAAACTACTGCAAATTATTCTTATTGAAAATAAGGACAAATACGGTGCTTGTGATTTGTATCATTGCATATTCCAGCATAAGTTGGGGAGCTAAATTTCTTAAGTATTCCATTATAATTTCAAAGAAGCAGTAATCAGGTATCATTGCAATCCTTTTTTTTAATTATCCTGTGCTTATTGCTTAAGTGGGTGCCTTTTATCCCCAAAGAGGGTCAAATCAGCTCCATGGCAGCTGCACAAAGCTGATTCAGGTTAATGCAGGCCAAGGTAAAGTAGCCTTGAACTGCATTAACAAAAGTCATGGGTTGCTCCAATTTTTCTGCAAGACTCTAGAATAAACCACAACTTCAGGTCCCTGTAAATACTTGAATTGGTTCTGAGATAGAACCAACCGCAACTATTTAGATGGCTATCCCTTATTCTCTGGGCTCAGGTGGAAAGGAGGGGGAAAGGAAGTGGTGATTCCTCTTGCACCCTGCCCAATGGCATTCCAGGTGATGAGTGCCTGACACTAGCCCTAACCTACCTGAAGGCTAACACTATATTGAAAACAGAAGGGGGACAGTAAAGGTGGATGTCAAGCAGTGCTGTACTAGGTTCGGTGCCTTCTTGCCTCTGCAGTGGCCTAGGGGCTGGCAATAAAGCTCTGCAGTGGCCTAGGCGTTGGCAATAAAGTTAACACAGGAACAACTGGAATTTGACACTTTGGATTAGCTCTGAAATAAAGTATCCATGTAGAACTACCCTCAAAAGTCTTTTAAGTATTTATTTTTTGTTTACTTGAACAAAATATCAAATGTTGCAAAGCACTCGCCTGTGATACAGGTATATGATATGTAATACAACTAACTTAATCATGTAATGTTCTACACATTGAATATGCTTCAATTTAAATCCTTGGGACTAGAAATTTCTTGGATTTTGGTGTTTTGAGGATTTTAGAATGCCTGTATTTGTATATGTGCACATAATAAGAAATCTTGGAGATGGGACCCAAGTCTAAATACAAAATAATTTATGCTTCATGTACACTTATATGTGTGACTTTAAAATAATTTTATACAAAATATTTTAATAACTTTGTACATGAAACAAAGTTTGTGTACATTGAACCGTCAGAAAGCAAAACTGTCACTATCTAAGCCACACATGTAGAAAGTATTGGAGTATTTCAAAATTCAGAATTTCAACAAGGGATGTTCAACATATATAACTTTAAAATGAGGTTAGTAGGAATAAGTCAGAAGAATAATGCCATTTAGTTATGGCTGAATAACTTAAAAAAGGAAATGCTTATAAATAACTCTCTATTTGTGATTATTTACTGCCAAAGTTCAGATGTATTCCTACACATGTCCTTAGAAATGTTGCAGGAGTCCAGCAAGCTTGTTCACATGTCAGGTCAGATTGAGACAAAGCTTAGTGAAGTAGATTGATACTAATCAACACTTTAGTTCATTGCTAGAATTCTAACAAAATGTTACTGTACCTGTCCTGATATCAAAGGCTGTTTTAGTATCTGTTCCTCATGAACAACCGGCATCTTGGAAATGCTCCGAGGTCTCACAAAAATGTGTTCCATGTCCTCACCATTACATCTGGGTATGCAGAGAAAACATGGACCAAACTGAGCCACTGTCAGAGCCAAAGAGAGCCATTTGCCACAATGCATGCTGAAATTTTGTTTTTGGTCAATAGACATCTGTTGGAAGACAAAAATATATATCTTACAAAACAACACAAATATTGATTTTATGTCAAATTGAAAGCTCAGTTTTCACAATTAGTAATCTGTTCTATTATTAAAGGAAAAGAATAAATCTGGATTATTGTTATTATTACTATTATTGAAAAAATCATCCTCATGTATTTTCTTAGAAATGCATAAACATCTTATAGACACAATTGGTACAAAATGGAAAGATATCTTACAGTACATTTATCTTATAGATTAATCTTGGTAATTCCTATAGTGTATTCTAACAATAATTCATTTCCCATATCTAAATTTAACCCAAAATTCACTTTGTGCTGAACACATAAGTTTTATTATTAATATAGTACCTACAAACAATTTTTGCCAATTACTATACATGGGATGACACTGAATACACATTGCAATGAATATTTCATAATCACAGCTCGAGAAAAGTTACTTTTGTGAGAGGAGAAGATACAACTCCTAAAATCTATCAGACATGTGTTTATAATCTCCTATGATAGCATATAGTTCTGCATGTAGAACTATGCTGAGCCATTTGCCACCCACTGTGCCTACTACAGAATGACTGAAGTTCCCCGCCCATGACTATTCATGCCTGGAGGAAAGAGGGGCATCGTAGTGAAGCAATTACATTATCTGCTGAGATAATAATTTTTCATCTGCTATAGGGACATAGCAAAAGATCCTGAAATCTCTATGTTCTCCTCAAGGCATGGAATGGTCATGAGAGAGGTGCTCACTGTGGAGGGAGAGGGGAAATACCAATTTCTGCATCAACCAAAAATAGACACATGCAAGCAGAAGTTTAGTTTACACCTGTGTGTGCTAATAAAAGGATGACAGTCCCAATGCCGAGTTAATACATCAGGCACATACATGCATCCAATTTTTTTCCAGTTTTTAAGGCTGAACACTATTAGTGAAATATGTACAGGGTATTCATAAAGTCTTTTTACCATTTAGCAAATTTATTACAAGGGAAATTGAGTTACCTTATGACCTCATCAGACAAGCTGATTTGCCTGTTGTATGCCACTTGCTCTCCCAATTGCAATGGAGCCCATTACATAATGCACAGAGACTTCAAGCCAGGCTCTTTAGCGAAAGGGGAGAGCGAGTGGCATATGCCACCATGGCATCAACACGGCAGGCTTCCCATGTTACCTTTTGTGCAATCAGGGAAGCTGGGAGGTGACGTTTCCTCCATCATGAGATGGGGGCAGAGGTAAGTCATGTAATGTGAGACATGGAGCAACGGGTTTTCCACACAGCTCTCCGGGACCCCATGGATTCATGGCCCATGGATTCATCATGCATCATGGTGATGCATGTTGAATCCATGGGCCTTTGTGATAAGGTTCTTAATCAGATTTGTTCCATTTATGTACTCAGTGGTTATCAATGTTTTTAATCACATTGCATTTGTGTATTTAAGGTACACTGTTGAAGAAAGAGGTACTATAATAATAAAACTTTACTTATAAACTGTCCTCTCTCCCCAAGGGGACTCTGGGTGGTTTACACACAAAAAGACAAATGTTCAATGGCCAGACAAATGCAAAAAATATTTCAGTAATACAACATAATAAAGAATAATAATAACAATGAACTTATTGCATAAAGGAATTAACATCAAAATGAAAACCTGGATACAATTAATCACATAAAACAAGTTGCACTAATCACATATTCAACACTAAACCATCTCACATGATAAAAACAATTATAGTAGATGAAAATTGGCTGTTACAGTTGTTGTAGTGGTCATGGGGTACAAGTAGGTCAGCCAGAATTCCAAGTAAGATTAGTCTAGAGTATGCTAGTCCTCCTCCTCTTCGTACGTCAAAGTGCAGAGGTGTGATTTCAAGAGTTTTTTTTGAAGGAGAGGAGGGTGGGGTTGTTTTAATTTCTCTTGGGAGGGGGTTCCAGAAATGGGTAGCGATCACGGAGAAGGCCCCCCTCTCGTTCGCACCAACCGTGTTTGTGATGAGATTGGGTCTGAGAGCAGGGTCTCCTCCACTGACCTCAGTGCCCAGAATGGCATATATAGGGAGATGCAATTTCACAAATAGCCTGGACCCAAACCATTTAGGGTTTTATAGATAACAATCAGCACTTTGTATTTAGCTCAGAAGCAGACTGGCAGCCAGTGGAGCTACTGCAACATGGGAGTAGTTCTCTCCCTGTACGGAGTCACAGTTAGTAATCTGGCTGCTGATCTCTGAACTAATTGTAGCTATCCAACTATCTTCAAAGGCAGCCCCATGTAGAGAGCATTGCAGTAGTCCAAATGGGATGTGACTTAGGCCAAATCTTACTGTGGCCAAATCAGGTGACTCAAGGTATGGGCGAAGCAAAGGTGCTCCTGGCCATCACCAACACCTGAAGTTCCAGAAACAGGTATGAGTCCAGGATCACCCCCAGACTGTGAACCTGTGCCTTCAAAGGGAGTGTGGCCCCATCTAGCATAGGCTGTAACCCTATACCCTGTTCTGCCTTTCCACTGACCAGGAGTACGTCTGTCTTGTCAGGATTTAGTTTCAACTTGTTGGCTCTCATCCAGTCCATTACTGATGGGAAGCACCGGTTCAGGATCAGAACAGTATCCTTGGCTTTTGGTGGAAAGGAGTAATAGCGTTGGGTGTTGTCTGCATAAATTTGACACCGAACTCCAAAACTCCAGATGATCTCTCCCTGCGGTTTCATGTAAATGTTGAATAGCATGGGGTACAGAATTGAATTCTGAGAGACCCCACAGGCCACAGCCCAAGGGGTTGAACAGGAGTCCCCCCAATTCCACCATCTGGGTGTGCCCCTCCAGAAGGGATCAGAGCCACTGCAACTCAGTGCCCCCAAGCCCCATCCCAGAGAGACAGCCCACAAGGATCCCATGGTCGATGGTATTGAAAGCCGCTGAGATGTCCAGGAGAACCAGCAAGGACACCTTCCCCCCCCCCCCAGCTCTCTTTGGAGATCATTCACCACAGCGACCAATGCCATCTCAGTTCTATAGCCAGGCCTGAAACCAGATTGAGATGGATCTAGATAATCAGTTTCATCCAAGAAACTTTGGTGTTGTGAGGCCACCACCTTCTCTAGAACCTTGCCCAAAATGGGGAGATTAGACACTGGCTTGTTGTTCAATTGAGTGGGGTCCAGTCCTGGTTTCTTTAATAATGGTCTTACTACTGCCTCCTTGAATCTGATTAGCATTGTGCCTTGGGTCAAGGAGGCAATCACCAGCACTTTTACTCACTCCACCAGTCCCCTCTCTCGGCCAATTTTATAAGCCAGGATGGGCAAGGGTCCAGAGAACAAGTGGTCAGCCTCATTTCTTCCAAGATCTTGTCCATGTCCACAAGTGTAGTTAAATTAAATGAACCCCTAAAAATGGCTACTCCTCAAGAGAAAGCACAATGTGTAAAGAGATTTTATAGACACCCTGTATTATCTATAGAACTTTCTGTTAATATACCATAGGACTTCAAGCATACGTGTCATTGTACTGGTGAAACTTCTTCACTGGTAGAACAGTGTTTTCTAATTATCTGATATTCTTACAGCCAGCTTCCTGAGGAGCCTAGGATTACAAGCTTATTTTACACATAGAAATAGTTTAAGCTTTAAGTCAATTTCATGGGTCATCTACATATGTGATAAATGGTTGCCAAAGTCCACACAATCACCCAAAGAGCTGGCATGGGAGCTGGTGGGTGTCCTTATTGTACCTCCCCAAACTGGTCTGGTAGACAGATAACATCTGCATAGCACAGTGGTGCCAGAACTGGTTTAGTGCTACTGGACTGCTACCCTTATCTTGCCCTCTTCATCATACCTTTGCAGGACTATTGGGGACGGAAATGGTGGTGGTTGCCACTTGGCACCAGAAATGATGCTAGTGGAGTGATAGAGTGACATGAGAGAGGACGGTGAAAGGAGGAATCGTTCCCTCCTTCCCCCCGTCTATTTTCTAATCACTTCATCATTCCAGCCCTAATCACTACAGGCACCAAGTGGTGACCACTTCCACTTTTGTGTCTGGCAGTTGTCATTAAGGTCAGAATGACAGGGGATGACAATGTGCCTAGCTATTTATACTGACTCAAAATGCAGGCAAGCTCCAGAGCAACAACAAATCTTCACATCATACCATAACTTTTTAAATGCATGACAATGTCACCTCAAGGTGAATAGTCCTAATGTGTCATGGGGATGCACCTTGTTTCCATTCACTCCCAAACTGACTCCTATGGCCCATTTAGATGGGCCCCAAAACAACATTAGGAAATGTCTTTATCCTGAATTATTTGCACTACAAATCCACTCTATAATTTATATTAGTGAAAAATTCATTAATAAAAGAATTCCTTCCTATATTTTTCTTAGTGAAAGAAATGAGATCATATTTGAGTAACTTCCAGAACCCAATGTAACATTTTCAGATATTTCACAAATAATTCCATTGTCTCCTCAGCCCAGCAGACAGGTGTCATCCCTCAGTCCTGGCCTGAGGGAGAAAACATGTTCTGATGTAAATTAGCTGAAATTTTGATCATCCATTTTTGACAACAATGCTCCCGCACAACCTAGTTCAAGTGTGCTCTTGCAGTGCATGGAGATAGAACATGACAAAGGGAAGCTTGTTAGTACACTCTGATGACACTTGCTATAGATACATCTATCTACTTAATAAGCATACAGAATATGACATTATCTCCCTACTATAAACAGCCCACAAGGCAGGCTTTCAGTAGACAGCCATCAGTGGTTGAACATGTAAAGAGTATAACTAGTAATCTGAGTCAGTTGGATCAGTGATAAATGTGAGGAGCAGCTGTACTAAATCAGACCAATGACAGATTTAGTTCATGTTGTCAAGTATAGCCTCAAAGCTTTTCTCTCAGGCTCGATCAGCACTGCCCTATATCCCAGGACCAGATTCTAGATTATCTTCTTTGGATTCGATTATCTATTTATTA